ATTACAAGAACACATTGGTATTGAAGGAACCAGATACTGTTCCGAAATATCACTTACTCGAACCGTCCTGACCGCGTAGCTCAGTTGGAAGAGCATTGGACTAGTATTCCAAAGGTCGTAGGTTCGAATCCCACCGTGGCCGGGCATATTTTTCAAGCTCGCCCGGTGTGGATATGCACTCAGAGTAACATCACAATCATATTATTCACCTGAGTACACAACACCAGCACAGAAAAAAAAAAAAAAAAAAATTCATATCTTGTTTTGTCTTAATTGGCGTTTAATATTACGGCACTTTGCTAAATATATCATTGATGTGAATCAGAAATAACAATGAGCCTTTACCAGAACCATGAGGTATGCCTTTTTTCATAATTGATGGATTTGATAGTTTACCGTTCACACAACAGTACTGGGTCCTGTTTCATAGATACGACTCCAGGTAGCAATGTGCCATTCCATTTATTCCATAAATTGCTATTTTGTCTAAAAGTATATTGTGGTCGACGGTATCGAATGCTTTTTTCCAGATCCAGAAACACAATCCCATTTAGTTTCCCAATGTCAATATTTGCATGTATACCACTCGTTGGTTATGTTCAGCAATGCTGTAACAGTCGAGTGAAGTGGTCTAAATCCGTGCATGCTGGCAATTTGAAAGGAGATTACAGTTATGTAACTAATTATAGATTTGGTTATGAATTAGCTTTTGGTTATGAATCGGAGTAATTTTAGCGATTTTCCAATCATTGGGAAACATGCCTATTAAGATTGACTGGATGAATATTGATGACAAACATGGTGCACTCGTCACAAAAAACCATATCCCAATGATAACTTGATACAGCCTATCAAAAACGTTTTTCAAATAATACTAAGAATGATAACATAATAGTCAACAGAAATAATTTGATTAAGATTCCAAAATCATCTGCGTTGGGATGTAAACAAAGCATGCAATGCCAAATGTGCTTCTATTTATTGCGCGATCAATTTAAAAAAAAAAACCCTGAACTTGTGGTTGTGATTGAGCAACATAAATCAGATATTATACTAGTGACCGAAACGTGGCTGACAGACGATGTGCCGTACCAATCAGTGAACATCACTTGTTTTAACCTAACAAGGAAGGATAGAACGATAGGAAGAGGTTGTGCATGGCGTTGCAATCTATGTTAAAGAAACTATACCTCTAAAAGTCCTGTCTGACCTATCTAACGAAGACTTGAAATGCCTATGGATTATATTGCGGCCGAAATGGCTACCTCGATCGATATCAAGAATTGCGGTTGCATGCGTTGATATTCCTCCATCTATATATAGATCAGGAAAACTTGAACAGGTTTTATGAGTACTTTTGTTATTGTTATGATATCTTGAAATCAGAAAGCCCAAATACGTCGATTATAGCTGCTGCTGATTTTAACCCTGCAAGTAATGGCTTCAGCACGAAGATCATTAATAGACAATGCCACTTGAAACAAGTCATCAAAAAACCTACAAGAATTTCGGCAATTCTCTTGACCTTATTTTGACGGACATTCATAAATTCTACCAAGCCCCACTTGTATTAGCCCCAATCGGTATCTCAGACCACTGTACAATTATATGGTCATCACAAGAACAAATGAAGCACAAGCAAAAGTCAAAACGGATAAATGTAAGACCGCTGAAAGCCTTTGAGCAGTATATCAGTGAATATAACTGGTCACTCGTGTTGAATGCCTCTTGTATAAACGATAAAGTCAGCATGTTTTTAGAAATAGGTCTAACAACAGAAATGGTCGATGCATTCTTCCCTTTAAAGTCAGTCAAAATCCAAGTTGACGACAAACCTTTTATAAATGGAAGAATTAAACAATTGACACAGAAACGAGATAAGTCATACCAACCTGGAAGAGTCGATCAATCCAAGCTACTGCGGAACTTAATTGTTGCAGAGATTAGAAAGGCCAAGCGCGTATTCTATGAGCAAAATATTAAACCTTTTCATAACCAAAACTCAAAGAAATGGTGGGAAAATATAAAACGCATTGTTGTAAATAAAATACAGAAATTTGACTTATCAGCCCCTCTATCAGACGCCCCAATGAACGATAAGCAAACCGCCGATTACATAAACAGTTTCTTCATGAGTTTGACCAAAGAACATCCTAAAGTAAAAGCTGAATGGTTATCATTCGGAAGTCAAGATCCTTTACCACCATTACGACTGAAAGTGTTGTAAAGAAGTTGTCCAACATAAACATGAATAAACCACCTGGCCCTTTTGACCCAAATATGGAAGTGATGAAGACATTCGCTGAACACTTCGCCGTGCCATTAGCTGATATCTACAACCAGTCGTTTAGATCCAAAACGTTTCCTGAAATATGGAAAATTTCCAGCATATGCAGTGTCCCGAAATCAAGTCCATGTTCGTTAGTGGAAGAACTAAGGCAAATTGCATTGACTAGCACTTTTTCAAAACTTCACGAATCATATGTTGTGGAGTGGATCCTAATTAATTGATACTAATGGCAAAATTAGTGAATCTCAATTTGGTGGCCTTGCTGGAATGTCTGCTGTCCTTGCATTAATTTTCCAACTACACAAGTGGTATCTAGCGATGGAGAATAATAAAAAATTTGTTCGAATTACGTTCCTCGATTTCCGAAAAGCCTTTAATTTAATTGACCACAATTACCGACTTTTGCAAAACTTTAATGACATTGGTATACGTCCAGGCTTGATTGGATCACAAATAACTTCACATCATGGTGTAAAATCCGAGCGAATGGAAATTAATGGGAGTGTACCCCAGGGGGGCAAATTAGGTCCAATCGCTTTCAATATAAAAATCAATCAACTCCCACCAGTTACAAATTGGGAATCGGCCGAAACAACCAACCAAAATTATACGGATGAGGTAGAAACAACAATGTTTATGGACGATACGACCTTATTAGAAGTGATAGAAGTATCAGATCACACCTCTGGGACATCGATTGGGAAAACTCAAGAATATGTCAACAATGTAGTTCCTTTTGCAAAGCACGAAAAAAATGGAACTAAATGTGAAGAAATGCAAAGAAATGATTCTCGATTTCAGAAAGAATAAAACAACCATCCCACCAATTAATATTGACGACCAACCTATTTGTCGGGTAAAGTCATATAAATTACTAGGAATGTGGCTGGATGATGATATGAAGTGGGCCACAAATACTGAATTTATTATTAAAAAAGCAGCTAAACGGCTCCACTTTTTAAAGATCCTTAAGAATTATGGCGTGTGTAAAGATGATCTAAAGTCCTTTTATTGCGCTGTTATAAGGTCCACTCTCGAGTATGGAGCGCAAGTGTGGCAAAAATGGGCGCTCAGGATTATCTGCCCTGGAAGGGACTGCAATGAAGCCTTGATAGAAACCTTATCTGAAATATGGTTCAACCCACCCATAAACTACATGGACTGCTACCTGATAAACATTCTAACATCAAAAAGGGAGAAACAAGAGCGAATAGTAATATAATCTATAATTTTACTGGTAGAGCGGAACGTTTTAAAAGTAGTCTTTTGGTATATGCGATCGATAAATACAATGAAAGCATTAACTGAAAGATTTGATATAGGTTTATAACTGTTTTGGCATACTAGTGTGTTCGATTTTACTATATACAAACTATTGATAATAGTTCTAGTACAATTGGTGTTTTAGATAGTACTTATATACTATAACTATTATATATATACTATTTACATAATTGTAATGAAAGTACTAACTCATAGTCTTAATATATAAGAGTTTTGTATTTTACTCTTCATAATCCTGTGAACACATAGGCCTAATAATTTAGCTATATACTTTAATTGCTATTGAAATGTGATTAACCATTACCACCAATAACTGTTGCCAATTTTTTTTAAGATACAAGAGGTGATACGTGCAGTACAATTGATTTCTGATGCCTCATTGGGCCCTAAACGATGAAGTATAGTCTCAAAACATAATTTTCTGAAATTTCTTGAAAGCTAGGTGTACATCACTTAGAAAACTATCCGGAAAAATACTCCATCGAGGAATTTATTCCCAAGTTTTTCTCCTAATTCAACAAAGTGTTTATTAAAGGCATCAGGGTTCAGCGGTGGCAGCTTAATGCCGACCTCCCTTTTTTTTACTGGGAAATGGCTGTTCCAGGTTCTGAAGAATTTATTCTTCCAAATCTGCCAAGATATATTTGGATTGTATTGGTCCCACCTACAGTATCAATAATTCATGTTGATACCGTCCTGTAATAAATTTGAGTGTCGAAGGCAAAGCTTAGTAAGCTTGGGGAGATAGACTTGCGGATAAGAAGTCATAATTTATACATCTAATAAAATAATACTTCCTTACTTATTCCGTCATTATCAATTAGTTGTAAACAGTTCTCAAACTATAAAGGGTGTCATTAATTGGATCACTTGGTCGTCGATACCACGTTGTAATTAAGAACGGTTTAACGTTCTGCTAATTTGGATTGTAAGAATTTCAATATCGAGATTAGTCACGTGAGTTCGAGATCGAAAAGTTATTGTAAATGAATCTCTAATGAAAAAAATGATGACACCTCCAAATCTATTTCTGTTTTTAAAAATCCAACTGCAACCTTGAATGGCTAATGACTGGATTTGCACACTATCGTCCATTCGTGTTTCATTAACTGCAAGCTGAACATCGTTTTCTTTATCATTCATGCTGCAGATCCCAAGTTCGTCAATATGTTTTGGTAGACGTATATTGTTATGTTCAAAGAAGCTATTTTGAAGCCTCCGAAAGCCAAAACAAACCGATCTTGTTGAATGTCAATATAATTTGAATTTGTATTCTGCTTATAGGGTAGGGTTGACTTTCAAGTTTCGCATATTGTGCTTTATTAAATATTGTTAGTGTTACCACCTATCTTAGTTGATTTTATCATTTTACAAAAATAGTCAATATCATGATCACTAGGTTGGAGTTCTTTTGGTCAATTCCTGAGGATTCTAGTTAAAAATATTATTGCCCAGCAAATAACTCGTAAAAGAGGCATATTCCAAAAACATTTGGTATATAAAATTATTGAGTAACGTTTCGTCACATTATATTACAAGCTACATCATCAGACTTTTAAATACAGTTAAGCTATTTCATATATTTTATAACAAATTTTGAAAAAAATATATGATATACAATTACAAACGGTTAAAAAGTTAAAATTAGAAATATACAATGTTCATGGTATGTATATTGACATGTACAAGATAATGAGATAAGTAAAAGATATAGATTAAAAAAAAAGAAATGTCAAGGGTTAGCTTCAGTGTTAAAAGATGTTTGTAAATTAACAAGGGGGAACACCTACTTAGAAAAGTGTTAACGGAAAAGACCGGACATTATTATTAAGCCATGGTTTAGTTAGAGCAATTAGTAAGCTTTCCTTAATAAGAATATCATGGTTAGAATTAGCTGAAGTAACAATTTTGGAATCACTTGGTTCAATTGGATCACCGGCTACTCTAGAATGATCCGAAATACTAGATTTTGAAACACACGAAAGAGGATTGCCAGTCAAAGCCGAAAGTCCGCAATGCTCGGAGATTCGTGTGTGTAAATGTCGACATGTTTTGCCCAAATACAATGCGTTACAGCACGTAAAACAATCGGAATAAGAAATTTTGAAACCGTAGGCGTTTGAACTTTGAGAGGTGGAGAAATCATTTTATCTAAAAACATTTTGACGCATCTATCTATGAAAAATTTTGGGTAACCATTTTGAAGTAGTAACTTTTTGAATTTTTCAAGTTCAGCTTGAAAAATTTGATATGAGGAGCAGATGTTGAAATAACGAAACAAGAGAGAGAAAATGAAACCTTTTTTGTAA